CTCAGGGGGGACCTTCTGGCTCTGCAACCCCCTGACAGGAGGGGGGAGCTGGAGGGTTGGGCTCTGCTTGAAGGGAACAAGGGACAGGACAAGAGGAAATGGCCTCAAGCTGCCATGGGGAGGGTCAGATTGGGTGTTGGGGAAAACTTCTTCATGGAAAGGGCTCTCCCACCCTGGCACAGCTGCCCAGGGCAGTGGTGGAGTCCTCATCCCTGGAGGGATTTAAAAGCCGTGTGGATGTGGCATTTGGGGACATGGTTCAGTGGTGGCCTTGGGTTTGTGGGGGGAGCAGTTGGACACGATGACCTTAGAGGGCTTTTCCAACCTAAATGGTTCTGTGATCCTGAGATGCTGGAACACTCCAGACAGGGTCCTGTGGGGAGGAGCAATGCTGCTCCTGATGCCTTGCTGAGGTGTGTCTGCACAGGGTGCAGCCCCCTGGTGTCTTCTGCCAGTGCTCGAAGCTGGCCAGGCCTGAGAACATTCCAGACCAGCCTTGAGTGTCAGCCCTGAGCTGGGCTAATGAACCCTTGATATTTCTAGTTAAACCAGGGTGTGGTAATTAGGTCATCTGTGAAGTGCCCATTGTGGAGTGATTTGGAGGTGGAAGAGGAGCAAGCAGGAAATCCCAATCCCAAATCAGATCCATTTCCTCCTCTGCTATTTTGTATGTGGAAGGGACTGAGTGGATTGTGGATGGTTCACTAAAGACCTGCTTATATTTATGCACAGGCCAGTGAGCTTAGGAGTTATAAATTAAAATGTTGGGATGTCATTGGAAGGTTTTTTAGGTTTTATGGCTGCTGGCAAAATGATTTGCATTACAAATGTTGTGAAAACCACCATCACAGTAACTTCTCTCCCTTCTGCTGGGAGATGCAATGGCCAATGACTCCGGGTTCCTTCCCCATCAGTGGCACAGCCTCATGACCTGTGTTTGTGTTCAGGTTGTTTCCATCATGTCACACAAGCCTGTCCCACCATCCATTGGATATTTTCAGCTCTCCTATGTTTTCAGCCCAACTCCTGGGATTTTCCAGCTCCTACCTGCCCATTTCCTGTGGCAGCCTGAGCCCCCAGCTGGGAATAGAGCTCAATACCAGCTTTAATCAACTTGTTTTCAAAGCATCTCTTTGCTTCTCTGTCTCTGGAGGTGGGAGATAATTTGATGTTCCCTTCACTCTGTATTCATCTTCAAAGAATTTATGAATCACAAACTGGTTTGGGTTGGAAGGGATCTTAAAGACCACCCAGTCCCTCCTTCTGCCATGGGCAGGGACACCTTCCACTATCCCAGGTTGCTCCAAGCCCCGTCCAACCTGGCCTTGGACACTTCCAGGGATGGGGCAGCCACAGCTTCTCTGGGCAACCTGTGCCAGGGCCTCCCCACCCTCACAGTCAGGAATTTCTTCCTAAGGTGAAATATAGTGTAATTTTTTTTTCTCAGCTATGGAAGAGAAAGATGGAGGCAGATCCCCCATCTGCCATTGGCCCTTCCCACCGTTATCATCCATCTAATCCAAATTTCCAGTGATCAAATTGGTTTTTTTGGAAAAAGCATGTGTGTTTGCTGAATTTCTAAGAGAGTTTCTGAACCCTTGTCCAATGCACAATCCTTCAGGATCCCCCACATCTGGTACCCTGCTTGGAGGGGTGGGAAGGAAAGAATGGAGGTTCAGCTGAATGAACATCTTCTTCCAGCCCAAGCTATTCTGTGATGATTCGACTCATGAAAAATTTGGATTTCACAAAGATGATGGATGCTGTTCTCTTTGAAATAAAGCTGCTATTCCATGGGAGCAGGCAGGAAAACATGGACAATCACAGTCTCCACAGCCAGGGATTGCATTGATGCCTTCAGCCACATCTCATTGACCTGTCAGTGTTTCAGCCACAGGCATTGCCCTGGTCTGGCAGTGCTGGACAGGACTTTCTTCTAATTTCTGAGTTATACAGACCAGGGCATGATGTCAAGCCTTACCTGTTAATGCCTGACAATGGTGACAGCAATGGGCTGACACAGGGACCTGGAAGGCTTGGACAGGAAGGTGCAGAGTGGCCCAAGTGTGGTTTCACACTAATTAATTGCAATTGCTTTGTTCTCAGTGCATGGGAAGGTTCTGAGTTATCCCACTGGTATCTCTGATACCCTGCCCATGCTTTACAGAGTGTAGGGACAACCTCTCTTGCTTTCCAACCTCCAGGCAGACCTGGCAAACCTGTACCTGAAGGCTGGAGTGAAGAACACGGGCACTGTGTTCCTGCTGACGGACGGGCAGGTGGCGGACGAGCAGTTCCTGGTGCTGGTCAACGACTTCTTGGCATCAGGTACATCCCTCCTGCTTTGATTTCTCCTCTCCCCCTCTTCAGTGGAGCACCTGGAGTTCTAGAATCTACAGAAGGGCAAGAATGGAATAAGCTGGAAGTTACATGGGTTAAAACCTTGAGTAAAAGCCGTGCTGGGGCTTCCCTGGGGAGCAGCTCCATCAGCTGGGAGATTTCTTTACTTTCCCTCGTGTCTTGTACCTATTTTTCCATACAACATGGAATACTGCACGTGGTTGTTATATGATGTGTCTGTTGGGATATTGCAGCTGAGGACAGAGCTGAAGGATGTATCACCAGGTGAGGAGTTTCACCTATGGATCCCATGCATCCACCTGATAAATTAAGGTTGTTCCTGGCTAAAAGAATTGACTGGAGTGTTGGGGGGGAGTGAAAGGTTTAGACAAAATTTATTAGAAAAGCCCTTTCATTGAGCTACAAGGTGCAGAAAGGACCCCCTAGCTTTCTAAGCTCATCAGAGAGGAGCCTGGGTGGCTGGATCCAATATCAGCCCCAGATTTTGTCCACAGTTTAAGGAATTACAGAGTTATGATTGAATCACTTTGTCCCACAGGTTTTAATGATGTCAAATCAGATATATTTATGTAAAGGGAATTATTTATTATGAGAAATGAACAGACAAATGAACAGATGAAAGATCTTACTCAGAATTATTTACTACACAGTATAAAAGCTAAAAACTACTTGTGATACAGTATAAGATAGGCAAGTGCACTGTATCAAAGCAGTTCTATCAAAGCAATTGTATCAAAGCTGGCAAAAGGAAACAGTCATTAAGTAGAGATTGATGTAACTCACCACACAAGGATCCTCTCGCTTTCACTCAACCCTTGGGGAGTGACCGTGAAGAGGCGTCGCTGCTTCACAGGAGAAGCTCCACATGCTCTAAGAAAGCCTGTGGAAGAATCTGCCATATGAAAGTTGGACTGGGCTTTTATAGTCATAAAGTGATTGACTGCCAGTCACATATTCCCAGGCCAGCCAGCAGCTTATCTGTCAAATCCTGCTTCAAAAAGCAGGGGGGGTGTTTGCAGTTAGTGAACCAGGCTGGTTTTAGCACAATTTAACACCAAAACAGCACCATGGCACCAGTGGTAGCTCAGCACGTTGTTTGGATTCTCTGACTGGATTTGAGGCCCAAGGCAGGTAAGACCTATCAAGGCAGAGTATCCTCCTCCGTGGAGTATCTGTGAGCTGGTGGATGATGCATAGCCATGATGACCATGTCTGTGTGCATCACCTGGCTGCTTATCCCAGTCCAGTCCTTCTCCTCTTGTTTTTCCGGATGCATTGAAGTTTCTGGGTTGCTGCTCACCAAAACCATTGCAGAGCAATCAGTGTCCATGCCAGTGCTCTTCTTCCCTGCAGGAGGTGGCACAGATGTGTGGTGAGCACTCCCTGTGCTGGGTGTGCTGCAGCTCCCTGGGAGTGCAGGTTGTGTCACTGGTGCCTAAAACCAGCTCCAGATAAAAACCCTAAGACTCCACCAGTGAGTTTTACCTTCCAAAGCAGCACTCAGAGTTACAAAAGCCTCTTGCTTTTATTTAGTTACCTAATTAACAGTTCAAAGCATTAACTAATACTGTTACACCCACTTCCCAAACAGTCCCTCCAACAGTACCACCTTCACCCCACCCCTGACATACCTCCCGAATTTGAGTCAGAGGTCCGGAAGACCCTTCTGTCTTCATCTTCCTCATCTTTTCTCCTGGTCTTTGGCACACTATCATGCCTTCTGGAATGGTTTCATATCAGGTGTTATGTCTCTTTCTCAGTATGTTTTTACAGAGAGAGAAATCTTCACCTTGTTAAAATCCCTTGTCTGTTGAAATTCTGAACAAAGAATGTTAAACAGCATTTTTAGGAGCTTTGTACAAAGGTACTAACAAGCTATATTAAAACTTATTTAACATAGATTTTGAGGTATCATCCCTAGGACTGTGGGGGACAACCAGAGTGGGCATGTTCCCCACACTCCCTGGGAAATCACTGCCTGCCACTTGTGGCCTTGTTTATGAGCCAGGCTTAGGGAGGTACCAGCTGGTTCAGGTGCCCTCCAGGGATGGGCAGGGGGCAGGAGTCAGCAGCACAACTGAGAGTTATTTGTGAATAACTCCAGAGGTGACATGTGTGGCTGTAAATTGGTGGCCAGATGGTTTCAGCATCAAGCAAATGCTGCCTGTGATGAATTTGTAACCAGGAGCAAGGACGGGAGTTGTTGTGGAGGGCAGGGAGTAGCTCCCACCAGCTCCTGGTGTAGATGCACAAACACCTGATGAGTGAAGGTGAAGCTCAGGTGAGAGAGCTGGGGGTGTTCACCTGGAGAAGAGAAGGCTCCAGGGAGCCCCTTCCAGTGCCTAAAGGAGCTCCAGGAGAGCTGGAAAGGGACTTTGGACAATGGCCTAGAGGGACAGGACAAGGGGGAATGGCCAGACAGCAGGGTTAGATGGGATACTGGGAAGGAATTGTTCCCTGTGAGGGTGAGGAGGCCCTGGCACAGGTTGCCCAGAGAAGCTGTGGCTGCCCCATCCCTGGGAGTGTCCAAGGCCAGGTTGGATGGGTCTTGGAGGAACCTGGTCTAGAAGAAGGTGTTCTTGCCCGTGGGAGGGGGTGGAAGGAGATGAGCTTTTAGATCCCTCCCAGCCCAAAGCCTTCTGGGATTCAGGGATTCCTTGTCCTGCAGTGAGGGGTGGATTGAGCATCCTGGCTTTGTGGTGTCCCAGTCAGCTTATGGTGGCTTTGAAAGGCATCAGGTTTTCCTGTGGTTGCTCTGGGGGGCTGTGGGGACAGGTCAAAGTCCCCTTCCAGGGTCTGGGAGGCAACATAGAAGACTGAGACTCCCCATGAGGTGAGCGAGGGCTGCCCAGGGGGTGCTGGCTGATGGCTCTGGCTGCTCCCTGCTCTGCAGCCTCCGTTTTCTTACTTGTTTCACTTCTTATCATCTTCTAGAAAGCCAGAACAGAATATACCTTTTAATCATTCTTATAAATGAGCAGATTTGTGAATTAATGTATTTTCTTAAGTGATTAGTGCTCATATTGATAGTATCTGACTCAATAAAGGGGATTTTAATCAAATCAGAAGCCAGAAAGGAAGCGAGTAGGTGACAAATTAAAGAAGCACTAAAAAAAATATCTGGTTGGGTGCATTTTTGGCAATCAATTGCTTAACTATTAAATTTTAAAAATGTTTACAAGATTTCTAGCTTTTAAAATGTTTTGTTGATCTGGGAGTTTTTTGACCACTGCTGGAAATGGCCCTGAACAGCTGCAGAAATTGTACATATAATTAATGCACTTGCCAAACTAAAATGATTTTATATCACGTATAGCATATTAGGGATTTGATTATTGTATTGTAATCTAATTAGCTCTGTAGAACTAAAAAAAATGGATTTTCTGTGCTCTGACTCTATTTTATGTCCCTTTCCCCTGTGCCTTTTAAGGAAGTTTGCTTTCCTAAGTGTTTCTTTTTTAGCAGAATGACCTTCTGTGCCCCTTTGCTGCTGCTGGGGCCTGTTGGCACCTGTTTTTTACCTGAGGAAGGGACTTCCCTGGGCCCCAGGAGAGGGAGGCAGCTGCTTCCCTTTGCTCTAAGACTGCAAAAACACCCAGCCCAGTAACCCCAAACTCTTCTCTTAGGGGAAATACCAGATCTCTTCCCTGATGAGGAAGTTGAGAACATCATCAGCAGCGTGAGGAATGAAGTCAAAGGCCGGGGGTTGGTGGCCTCCAGGGAGACCTGCTGGAAGTTTTTTACAGAGCGGGCGCAGCGGCAGCTCAAGGTGAGAGGCATGGGGGAGACCAGATCCTTCCCATCCCCCTTGGGGTACGTGTGTGGGGTGGAGATGCCTTGGGCTGCCCCGTGGGGCTGCAGCCTGAAAGGCTTTGCTGCCTGGGCGTGACATGAGCTGGGATTCTCCCAGCAAGGTGCTCCAAAGCGTGGGGTGTGCTGACTGTTGTCATCACTTCTGGGCCTTTAGAAAGCTCAAAGGGCTCCAGGACAGAGGTTGCTGCTCCCTTGGTTTGACCTGGACTGAGCTGGGTTCCTGGAGGAGCAGAAGAGATGCTCTGTCCTGGCAAGTAGAATGGAGAGATGCGTGTCCAGTCTCTGCTGTTTGGGTGGTAACTGTGGGATCCTCCATTGGAAGTGGCTGGTGGAGTCTGGGATGGGCTGCATGGTTGGAACCCAGTGCCTCTTCCTGGCCCTGCCTCCTCCCTTCTCCTCGTTGGGCTCCACAGGTTGCTCTGTGTTTTTCCCCCGTCGGCTCCAAACTGCGGCTCCGCAGCAGGAGGTTCCCGGCCCTGGTCAGCTGCACCACCATCGACTGGTTCCAGGAGTGGCCACGGGAGGCCCTGGAGTCTGTCAGCCTCTGCTTCCTGAGAGACATGGGGGCTGTGGAGGTGAGAGCTCACACAGAGTCCCAGAATGTGCTGAGCTGGAAGGGACCCACAAGGATCACTGAGTCCAACTCCTGGCCCTGCACAGAACCATCCCCAAGAGTCACCCCCTGTGCCCCAGAGGATCAGCCAAACCCTCCTGGAGCTCTGGCAGCCTTGGGGCTGTGCCCACTGCCCTGGGGAGCCTGGTCAGTGCCCAACCAGCCTCTGGGGGAAGAACCTTTGGCTGAGATCCAACCTGAGCCTGCCCTGACACAGCTCCAGCCATTCCCTGGCTGCTGTCCCTGGTCCCCCCAGAGCAGAGCTCAGTCCCTGCCCCTCCTCTGCCCCTGCCCAGGAAGGTGGAACTGCAGGGAGGTCTCCCCTCAGTCTCCTCTTCTCCAGCTGAACACACCAAGTGCCCTCAGTGTCCTCACAGGCCTTCAAATCAAGGCCCTTCCCCGTCCTCCTCGTTACCTGCTCTGGATACTCTCTAATGGCTCAGTCTCTCCCTTCCATTGTGTCCCCCCAAACTGCCCCAATATTGCAGGTGGGGCCTGCAACACAGAGCCAGGACAGCTGGGTATCCGTCCAGAGGGGCACTGTTGGTAGCACTGAAGTACATCAAACTCAACCAAACTATCCTTGAAACAAGGTCCAGGTTTTTCAGAGAGGGACGTGGATGTTGGCAGCAGTGCCATGGGAAGGGCTGCTCTGCCAGCACACAGGCAGCTCCAACCGAGCACAGAAAGTAACCTGATGCTCCTGATCACTGCAGAGAACACATACTCTGCTCTCCCCACACGTGTCTGAGCCTCTGGAATTCTCAAGGGCAAAAATATATCAGGTTCTCATTGATGACAACATGTTACTGGATTAAAGGAGATTAATTTCTGTTTATTTACCTTTTCTGGGAAGAATTTGGGAAGAATAAAGTCTACAATGTTTCTTTTTAGGAGTGTGCACCTTTCCCATTTGTACAGAAGACAAGCCCAAATTCATACTTAAAAGGCTGTTATTTTGTAAAGCTGAGTGCTAGAAAAATTGCTTGGAATAAGATAATATGTGAGATAAAAAGATATAAAAAGAGGTATAAAGTGCATAAGCGGACAAAGTTATTTTAGAGATAACAGTGAAAAGGGATCAGCTTAGGTGTTACATCCTGGACTGTGCTGCAGTGGAATGAAAAGTTACCAAATTCCTTTATATTCAGCACAGCCTTGTGTTATATATAGTTTTCTATTTAAAATAGTTTCTCCTTGTCTTCTCATCTTGCCTGTAGGATTCAGTGAAAGATTCAATAAGCAAATTCATGGCCCATGTCCACATCAGTGTCAACGAGATGTCCCGGCTGTACCTGAGCAACGAGCGCCGCTACAACTACACCACCCCAAAGTCCTTCCTGGAGCAAATCAAACTCTACCAGAACCTGCTGCTGAAAAAGGACGAGGATTTAAAGGCAAAAACGGAGCGGCTGGAGAACGGCCTGGAGAAGCTCAACAGCACCTCTGCACAGGTAACAGCCCCTGAGGGCTCCAAGGGGATGGCTTTCCTGTTTCTCTGTCAGAGGCATCTCTGCATCCTGGTTTGAAGGACAATTTTACAGGCTAAGACTATACAGGGGAAAAAAATGGTGCTGGATCCTGGCTCTGGTCTGGCTTTGGGTTCCTGGAGGAGCAGAAGTGATGCTCTGTCCTGGAAAGGAGAATAGAGAGATGTGTGTCCAGTCTCTGCTGTTTAGTTGGTAACTAAAAGATCATAGTAAGTAAAATGAGATTGGGATCCAGCTGGCTGTGTCACCGTCCTTTAATGGTTAAATTTAATCTATGGTGACAAAATAGCTCATAAAATACAGGGACAATCAATAATTTTTAGAGTTGCATCCAGGAAATCCACAATAACTTCAGCAAGACTCCTTCAAACTAAATAGTGCATGCTGTTAAAATAAGGCTGATGTTCATTTTCCCTTGCATTGTGTTATCCATCTTTAAGGAAAACTAATGCATGTCTGAAATATAGATTAGTCATCCCAAAATGCCCCTGCTGAAGAGCCACACTGGCACTGTCCCCTGGTAATGAGTAGAAGTTTTTCTGGGTATTTCCCAAATCTCTGCAGAGACACAAACTGCCTCTCAGTGCTTTGCTCTTTACATCTCTTGCTCACCTCCCATTTTTCTCTCCATTTCATATTCTATTATCTCTTACAAATGGTAAACATTACAGACTTCCACAGTGGTAAATGCACCTCTCCTGAAGCTTCTCTGAAGGAAAGCAGGGGCTGATGTGAATGAAGGACTGGCTGGTCCATTCCATGCCATATATCTGCTCTGGATAGTGCTGGGGGTATAAATCATGTCTGTCACACTCCATGGGACACAGGCCTGTCTGGAGGGTGATGGATGGGCTGTGCTGGTGCCTCTCAGTGCTGACATCTCCATCTCACTTCAAACGGTTGCTTTTCTCATGGTGCAGGACAGGTCTGTGAGGACACAGGAGGAGGGACCATGTGTCATGTCCCCTTTGCAGGTTTTAGCATCTCTCAGAGTCACAGAATATGCTGAGTTGGAAGGGACCCACAAGGGTCATCCAGTCCAAATCCTGGCCCTGCACAGGCTCATCTCCAAGAGTCACCCCCTGTGCCCCAGAGGATCAGCCAAACCCTCCTGGAGCTCTGGCAGCCTTGGGGCTGTGACAGGGAGCCTGTTCAGTGCCCAACCACCCTCTGGGGGAAGAAGCTTTGGTTAAAACTTGCTGCTAATAATACCAAGGTCATGGATTCAATCCCCTGTATGGGCCATTCACTTAAGAGTTGGATTTGATGATCCCTGTGTGTCCTTTCTAACTCAGAATATTCTGTGACTCTGTGTAATATCAAACCTAAATCTCCCCTGACAGAACTTCAGGCCCCAATGTTGCAGGTGCAGAATGTTGCCCCAGGGCAGAGCAGAGCAGGACAATCCCCTCCCTGATGCCCCCAGGACAGGGATGTCCCTCCTGGCTGCCAGGGCACTGCTGACTCAGGGACAACTGGCACCACCAGCACCCCCAGGGCCCTTTCCTGGCTCTGCTTTCCAGCATCTCGTTCCCAGTCTGTCTGTACATCCCAGGGGCAGAATTCGGCACTTCCCCTTGTTGAAATTCCCATGGTTGGAAGCAGCTGAGGTTGAACAGGCAGGAACAGCGACCACCAGTGACACCAGTGACACCAGTGACACCAGTGACACCCACCTGGGCAACGAGAACGTGCCCTCACTGCACACACCTCTCACCTCCCCTCACCCATGGAAGCCACAGCTCTGCTGACCCGGGAGGTGCTGCTGTTGTTGATGGTTCCCCAGCAGAGGACAAGATGATCTTTTTTATTGGGAGCAACTGATCTGAACCTCATCTTTTGAGAACAAGTCCCTGTAGTGTCTTTTGTCACACACGGGGACCCTTGTGTGTTCTTCAGGCCTCTCTTCAGTGGGTGCTGTGCTGGCAGGGTTCTCACACAGCAGGTGCTGAGACAGTGGTGGAGAGCTGGGGAGGCAGTGGGAAGGATGGGAAACCACAGCACCAGGGGGTCTGGGAGATTTTGCTGTTGCAGGAAGGGTGAAAGGGCACAAAGTTTGTGTCTGGCTGGAGTGAGGCTTGGGGGGAGAGGTGCCTGATGGTGAAGTTGATTAAGATGCAGAGCAGTGAGGACAAATATGTCAAATTTGAATCTAAAATTAGCACTAGGGGCCTAAAATTAAACACCTTAATTATCAGATGTGCGCAATAGTCAAACTGCTGCTGATTTGAAACCAGAGTGTGGATATTCAGCACTACTGGAAATCATGCCAGTATGTTCCATCTTGAATATGGATTTAAAAGCCTGAACTTTACATTCACCCATGGAAATGCTCAGTCTTGGGGCTGAGGAAGTGACAAGTCTTCTCTCTCACTCAGGTGTGTCATCTGCAGGTGTGCTGGTGGTGCTTGGAGTTGATCCACTGGGGGGAGGAGGGTTTTGATACCTGGTATGACCTGGTTGTGCCCTGGGCCTGAGCACTGGTGCTCACCAGCACCGTTCTCCAGAGTCCTGTTGCTTGGATGGCATTGACAATTAATGATGAGTTTATGTGTTTCTATGGACTGTGCAGTGTGGCCTCAGCACGAGGGACTGTTGTGCCAGGAGCTGCAGATACTCTTTGACTTGGCTGTTCCAGTTTCAAATTAATCTCTCTGCCTCCTTTAACTCTTCTCTCCCCCCAGTTTTTTTTTTCTTCTGAGATTTGTACATCTTTATGTTGTTGCTTCTTCAGAAACACTTTCCATCAGCTTACAGCCCTCTCTCCCTGCAGACAGCAGTGTCCTCAGCACTCAGAAAAGCAGAAGCCTCCTTCCTATTAGGACATAATGGATTGGGAAGATGTGTGGGATGAGTCATTTGTTTTTCAGAGTGCTGTTTGCCATGGAGAGGTCAGCACTGAGATCAGAGCCCACTGCTGAGTAATTCTGAGGATGCCTTTGGTTAATATTGCATCACTGCATTCCAGGTTTGAATCTGGCTTGTGCTATCAATTAATCGCTGACCTTTGTGATGTATTTTGTGTTCTTGAAACCAGGCAGGGACAATCAGATAAAATGAGTCTTCTGGGAGCCTGCCCTCCAGGTTTTCTGTTCTTTAATAATTTTTCTCATGCTGTCCTGGTGGTAGGCAACTGCTTCTCCCTTCCCTCCCCTGCTGAAGTCACAGCACATTACCCTTGAATCTTTCGTTTGCTTTGCTCTTTCCCTTTCCACCCCCCATTCCTAATTGCTTATCAGATTGTTCTGCACTCAGGAAGCTGCTCACAGATTTCTCATAAAATCACAGAATCACAGAACCACAGAATGGCTGTGTTTGGAAGGACCTTAAGGATCATCCCATTCTAACCACTGCCATGGGCAGGGACACCTTCCACTAGTCCAGGTTGCTCCAAACCCCGTCCAACCTGGCCTTGGACACTTCCAGGGATGGAGCAGCCACAGCTTCTCTGGGCAACCTGTGCCAGGGCCTCCCCACCCTCACAGGGAAGAATTTCTTCTCTATATTTAACCTAAATTTCCCCTCTTTCAGTTTGAAGCCATCCCCCCATGTCCCATCACTGCAGGCCCTTGTAAATAGTCCCTCCTCAGCCTTCCTGCATTTTTAAAATGCTGACAATGTTGTAGCCAGTGATCTCCCCTTCCATCCCTGCCTGTGCTTGGCAGGGCCCTCTCTGTTCCCCCAGGCTGTGCTGGGCTCAGCTGACACCTGCTGCCTTTGTAAAGCTGTTGAGTGCCCGTGGATTTTAATCCCCTGCTTGTTTTGTCCTGGTCATGTAAAACCCTGAAGCTGCTGTTTGTGTGTATATCCAGCACACAAAGGCTGGGTTTCAGGCAGCAGGTCACAGGCTGTATCTGCCATCAGCAAAGCCCCCTTCAATTCCCTGCAATCCCCCAAGAGCCAGAGCTGAACAAGGAGCTGCCACCGAGTTTGTCAAATGAGGGGATTAAGTGCTCCTGTAAGCCTGGATTTACAGCCCTACCTTTGTCCTGGTGAAAGCAGCCCCACGGTGTCAGCAGCAGGGGATGGTGATGGATGAAGGGCGTGTGGAGACTCCTGAGGAACTGCTCTCCACGTGAGGCCGATGCCGAACGTCAACAGCTGCAGTTTGGAGATTGCAACCTGTGCTCTCCCTTCTGGTGTCAAAATGGATCTCATCAAAAACAAGGGTCTGGCTTCCCTTCTAGGGAATATTTCTGTGTAGGTAAAGATGTGCCCCAGGAGCTCTTAGTGATCCTTTAGGAACCTGAAGATCAGGACAGTGAAAACCTCCGTGGTCTGCCCAGAGCCTGAGTAATTTCACTGACATGGGAGATTTTAGAAAGAGATTTTCTGTGTGCAAGTGGGAGCCTGTGTGACCTCCCCACCATGCAAACACTTCAACGTGGAACTGGACAGGGCTTCTGGAAGGGAGCAGCTGCTCAGTGGAGCAGTGTGTGAGGAGCTGCCACCATGGCTGTGCCTCTTGGGGACCAGCTCAATGGGACATCCCTTCTCAGGCTCATCTGACATCACATTCAAAGCCCCTTGAGCCTTGGAGCTGGACCTGTCAGCAGATCCCAATTGTAATCTTTCTGGGTGAAAAATTATGTTAGAAAGAAATTGTTCCCTATGAGGGTGGGGAGGCCCTGGCTCAGGTTGCCCAGGGAAGCTGTGGCTGCCCCATCCCTGGGAGTGTCCAAGGCCAGGTTGGATGGGGCTTGGAGCAACCTGGGCTAGTGGAAGGTGTCCCTGCCCATGGCAGGGGGTGGAACTGGATGATCTTTAATGTCCCTTCCAACCCAAACCATTCTGTGATTCTATGACTCTGTGGTTCCTGGTGCACAAGTCTTCCTCAAAACCACCATGTGCTCAATCCTGCTGGTGTCAAGTTCAGAAGTGAAACAAAAAATGGAGGGGCAGGCACTGATTTCTTCTCTCTGGTGACCAATGACAGGACCCAAGGGAATGTCTGGAGCTGTGTCAGGGCAGGGTCAGGTTGGAGATTAGAAAAAGGTTCTCCCCCCAGAGGCTGGTTGGGCACTGCCCAGGCTCCCCAGGGCAGTGGGCACAGCCCCAAGGCTGCCAGAGCTCCAGGAGGGTTTGGACAATGCTCTCAAGGACAGGGTGGGATTGTTGGGGATGGGCCTGTGCAGGGTCAGGGGTTGGACTTTGATGATATTTGTGGGTCCCTTCCAACTTGGAGATTCTATGGTTCTAGAATTGTATCCCAGGTCATCTCTCCCACAAAACACTTGCCCACAGCACCTGCACACCTCCAGACAGGGGAGATGTGACATCAGAACTCATCTTCAAAGCTGGTGTATTTGTTTTACAACGACAGAAGCTTCCTGCAAGTGCCTGGTCTGTGATGGGGCTCTTGGGCTGTACAAAGATCATCCCAAAAATATCTGAAATATGCTTCCTCCTACTTCCCATTGGATCCTGCCCAAGCAGTGTCCACGTTGCCTTAGTCCCTCTGTCCAGTCTCCAAGCAGAGGCAGGGAGCAGGGGTGGGACAATTCCCATAGCAGTGCATCCTGCTGGTGGTGGTATCTCCCCAGCTGGGTTCCTCACGGGGCTCCTCACTGCTGCCAGGCTGCTTGGTGCAGCAAAGGAGAGCAGAGTGTCCTGTCCACAGCTGGAAATGTTGCTTCCCAGGGCTCTGCCTCACACACAGGCCCTCCCTGCCCTTGGGTCCCACTCAGGGCTGCCGGGGACTGTCCCTGCTTCCACACGTGTCTTCCCTCCAGGTGGATGAGCTGAAGGCCAAACTGGCAGCCCAGGAGGTGGAGCTGAAGCAGAAGAGTGAGGATGCTGACAAGCTGATCCAGGTGGTGGGGGTGGAGACGGAGAAGGTGAGCAGGAAAAAGGCCGTGGCCGACGAGGAGGAGAGGAAGGTGGCACTGATCACCCAGGAGGTGGAGCAGAAGCAGAAGGACTGTGAGGAGGACCTGGCCAAGGCTGAGCCTGCCCTGGCAGCTGCCCAGGCTGCTCTCAACACCCTCAACAAGGTAAGGGGAGGATTCCCAGGGGGATCCAGTATCTTCCCTCAGTGTTGGGGGAATGGGGCTGTGTCATCTGATGGCCCAAGTTTTTGGGCGTTGTACTGTCCCTCCTCCAGCTTCTTCCCAGCTGGTTCATTCTGTGTTCCTGGTGTAACTTGGAGCAGCCACGAGGCTGCACCATGTTCCCCTTTACTCATCTCCATGGAAAGGAGCAGACAAAACCAGTCCAAAGGAAGGTGCCACTGGGGAAATGTATAACCAGGAAATAAGGACTGCTCTGATTGCAGGAGACCAACTGTCTGATTTAGGAAAGACTTTTGGTACCTTGGAAGGTTTGTCCTTCAAGGCTGCTCCAGAGGTTCCCATTTGGAGCCCAATGTACCTGCAATTTCTTTTGATCTGCAGTTCATGCAGCATCCTGGAGCACCAAACTCCCACTGCACACAAGGCACAGGGAAAATCCAGGAGCTGGAAAATCCAGGGTTGTTATTGCCATGATCACAGCAAGGAATGGCACAGTCCTCCCTCAAACCATGGCTCAGTCACAGCCCTGTTGGGAGGCAGGAAGTGACTCTGAGCCATCCAGAGTGGGGATTCTGTTGGATTAGATTTTGGGAAAGATAGGATTTTGGGGTTTGCTGCAGAGACATGTGCTTTGGCTTTGGTTCATGGAAGGCAAAGGACTGTACAAAAGGAAGGTGTTTGCCTCTCCACTGGTTTTGGTTTTGTGGTGGAGCTGTGGAGTATCTCATTAGACAAAGATGGGGACATGCTGGGAATCTCTCCAGGACCTGTAAAGCAGCAGTAGCAGAGCACTGGAAGCCATGGTCTCCTTTACTTGCTGATTGGAAATGCATCAGAGAGCCTGACCTGCTCTCTGACATGAATAATCAGCAATGTTTAGGTGTGTATATTTAGTTTCTCCCCAATTATCTCAGCCATCTTACTTGGAGAGCACAGTTATACACAACATTAATAGGGCAAACAGTGAGCAAAGCTGGTGAGGAGAATCCAGTGCTATAGATATAGTCAGGTACCAGGGAGCTCAGTGAGGATGTGGATTTGTGGACAGTCCTGTGACTCTGTCACCTGCCAGTGCAAAAGAAGAGCAGCCATGGCCATGGGGATGTGTGTCTTGTGCAGAGTGTGTGGAGAGGGAGGGAGAGCAGATGCCTTTGCACTAATCCAGGGGAAGGAGCACAGAATCATGGAATATGATGAGTTGGAAGGGACCCACAAGGATCATCCAGTCCAACTCCTGGCCCTGCACAGACCCATCCCCAAGAGTCACCCCCTGTGCCCCAGAGGATCAGCCAAACCCTCCTGGAGCTCTGGCAGCCTTGGGGCTGTGCCCACTGCCCTGGGGAGCCTGGGCAGTGCCCAACCAGCCTCTGGGGGAAGAACCTTTGGCTGAGATCCAACCTGACCCTGCCCTGGCACAGCTCCAGGCTGTTCCCTCAGGCATGTGTGTACTTCCCTTGATGTGTGTGAGTAGGTGAAGGGGTCACACCATGAGTGTTACCTGCTCATGGGCTGCAACTTGAACCCAGCTTGATTTCTGCTTCTTTGTTTGTGATGGGAGGATTATCTTTCAGGTGCTTTAAATAGTTCCCTGTACCCCCACTGTATCCTCTGTACCCCCACTGCTCTCAGGAGGGCTGGCCAGGCTCAGCCCATGGCAGGGTTTAGCTCTCATTCTGTTCCTTACAGTTTAAACTTTCCTTTTCTTTTTTTTCCATGTAAGCCAAGAGTGACCCTGGGCTGAGTCAGCCCAGCTTTGGCTGTGCCAGGGGGACCTTCTGCAGCCCCTCTGCCCCTGCTTTAGTGTTAGTGCCTTTTGCAGGGCTTGGTGGCAGTGAGAGTGACTGAGGCAAATTGAGGGGCTATACTTATGGAGAGATAAGTATATACATAAATGAGATAATTTTAATATATTTTATATATATATATTAAACTATCTCATTTAAGTATATACTGTAAGATAATTAAGGTAGTTATTCTATGGACCATGATAGGTTGTGAGAGATGCAGTGCAGAGCACCTGCAAAATAAAAAAAAATACACACCCAGATGTGATAGTGAGTTTGAAAATGTGAGAAATCAGTGTTTAGAGACAAAAATGCCCTTTTAGCTCCTCCAGTGCAGTTTGGCTGCTTGCCCTGTGAGGGTACCTGGGCTCTTTCTCAGTAGCTGCATTCCCTGGGCCCTGAGGATAGCAGGACATGGGACCCAGTGGATCTGGTGTTTTGGCATCATCATCTCAGCATGGGGAGGAGGGAGCATGAAGGGAAGCTCTGAAGGCTGTTATAGAGGGGCTGGGGGCTATTTCTAGAGGTTATTATTTGGAAACATTTCTGTCTTCCTTATCCCAGTGATCTGAGAGGGCAGGAAACATCCAGCTCCCCCAGGCAGCAGGGAAAGGGTGGGAGTGTGGGGAGGAGCAGTGTGCTGAGCTGGTGCCAGGGGGGCTGTCAGGAGCTGGATACAGGGAGTGGAGCAGGTGTGCAGGGAGTGGAGCAGGTGTGCAGGGAGTGGAGCAGGTGTGCTGGGAAGATGCAGAGCAGCGCTCTAAAGGCAGCGCTGTGGGGGCTGAGAGGAGCCCAGTTTATCAGACTGATGGCTTGGGAGCCTGGCTCCATTAGTGCAGAGTGCAAAGCAAGCCCATTCATTTTTATCTAAGAACCTTGTTTTCCCCTTTCCAGACCAACCTGACAGAGCTGAGATCCTTTGGGTCACCCCCTTCCGCCGTCAGCAACGTCACTGCGGCCGTGATGGTGCTGACGGCCCCGGGGGGGAAGATCCCCAAGGACAGGAGCTGGAAAGCAGCCAGAGTGGCCATGGCCAGGGTGGATGGCTTCCTGGACTCCCTGATCAAGTTCAACAAGGAGAACATCCACGAGAACTGCCTCAAAGCCCTCCAGCCTTATTTACAAGACCCCAAGTTCAACCCTGAGTTCGTGGCCACCAAGTCGGCGGCGGCGGCCGGGCTGTGCTCCTGGGTGGTGAACATCGTGCGCTTCCACGGCGTGTTCTGCGAGGTGCAGCCCAAGAGGCAGGCCCTGAGCAGGGCCAACACCGAGCTGGCAGCAGCCCAGGACAAGCTGGAAACCATCAAGGCCAAAATTGCTGTAAGTGCCCTGTGGTGGGACCCGTCACTGCCCGGGGAGAAATCCCCTGCTTTGGGGAAAGCTGCTTCTCTGCACTTGTGGGGTTTTTTAAGGGTGGGTTGGAGATCCAAAGGTTTGGGCCACTGTGGGGTTTTCTATCCCTTCTGTTTCACTGAAGCCCAGAAATCCAGCTGTGTCCTGGGCTGCAGCACAGGAAGAGTGGGCAGCAGGGTGAGGGGGGAATTCTGCCCCTCTGCACCACTCTGGTGAGACCACACCTGCACTGCTGCCTCCAGCTCTGGGACAACCAACATAAGAAGGATGTGAAGCTGCTGGAATGAATCCAGGAGGTCACAGAGGCTCTCTGAGGTTTGGAGCCCCCCTGCTCTGGAGACAGACTGGGAGAGCTGGGGGTGTTCAGCCTGGGGAAGAGAAGGCTCCAGGGAGCCACTTGGAGCCACTTCCAGTGCCTAAAGGGGCTCCAGGAGAGCTGGAAAGGGACTTTGGACAAGGGCCTAGAGGGACAGAACAAGGGGGAATGGCTTCAGACTGATAAAGAGTAGGGTTAGATTGGATATTAGAAGGAAATTGTTCCCTGTGAGGGTGGGGAGGCCCTGGCACAGGTTGCCCAGAGAAGCTGTGGCTGCCCCATCCCTGGAAGTGTCCAAGGCCAGGTTGGACGGGGCTTGGAGCAACCTGGGCTAGTGGAAGGTGTCCCTGCCCATGGCAGGGGGTGGAAGGAGATGGTCTTTAAGTTCCCTTTCCACCCAAACCATTCTGGGATTCTCTAACTGTATGATAGGATATGGCTGCTTTCTAAATTCCATCGATTATTCTCCAACCTTGCACCTGAAGAGGGAGGTTAATTATGAACTCTTATTACTCCCACCTAATTTTTGTAATGTAATTTACTTCTTCTCATGGATCCTCAGGAAACTCCTTATCTCAAACAAGTGTGTACCCAGTGTGTGCAGAGGGGAGGCACTGGAGGCTGATTCAGAGCTGGGCTGGCCCTGTGCTCAGGCCCTGGGGATGGGCAGGATTTGCAGGATCACAACTGCTCTGGTAGGAGCCTCATTTGTCCCAGCACAGCTCCCTGGCAGCGCATCTTGTACCTTATTTGGGTTTTTCCTAATAAATAAATAAATAAATAAATAAAACTTCTCTGAATAGAAGAAATTCCAGCGTGATTAAAAGTGCATTTCCACAGAGTGTGGCTTCAGGCCTTTAGAAAATCATTCCTTCAGAAAATCATCTCTATGTTAAAACACATCCTACTTTATGCTGCTTTTCTCTGTGGTCCCTCCAGGCTGATACCTGCTAACAGAGTGTGGGAATGAGCTCCTCCAGAACCTGCCTGGTTTTAGGCTGCTTTGGCTCTGGGATCCCTCTTTGGGAGTGGGATCCCCTCCATGGCTGGAACTGCAGCTGGGGAGTGCCCGAGGGGCCCTGCCAGGGGCAGCAGGTCCCTGCACTCATGTTTTCCACCAGCACATCTTCCTCTCAGAAAACACATCACTCTTTTGATGTTTCTGAGGGCTTATTATTCTTAAAATGCTTACTACACTTTTTACCTGGAAATACAGAAACCCAGTGCTGAGCACTCCGGTCGCCCCTTCCTGCTGCAGATGAAAGGAGCAGGGATGGATTTAGTGGGCATTAGTGTCTAATTCTCCCACCTCAGATGTGCAATACAGTGCTGGGGAACTTTTTTCATCCTTTTATGCTTCTCTTTTCAAAAGCTTTTAATGCCTGGGCTTTTCTTTTTTTTTCTTTTTTTCTTTTTTCTTCTTTTTTAAAGGAGTGGGATTTTGTTAAAGCAAATTGCAATCTTTGGGGAGATTACTGGTACCTCTCTGGCATGCACTTACAAAACTGCCTGGTTTAGGTGCATTTTCCCCTCTGCAGATGGGTAATGATGCTGCTCAGCGTGGGATGGATGTGGAGGTACATCCTTGCTTATCAAGCTGGGATATCTTGGGCAGCTTCACTGCTGTGGGGCTGATTCATACCTCCTCACAGCTGGGCCCCAAGATGTCACATACCCATTTTTAGTAATAAATGAGACCATTCTGATTGTCTGAAACACTAAATACCTTTCCCTCTCCTTTGCCTGCCTGGGAAATAAGATGCTGTGGCCCTGGGGAGGGTGGAGGTAGAAGCCAGAGGTGTGTTCACAGCTGTATTTGTGTGTTACTCTGGAGTGTGTCTGGTGGGGTACTGCAGGTCGGGCCTGTTTTTCAGACCAGATATATGTGTATATTCTATAGATACTCAGTTATCAGATTGTGCTTGAATAATGGGATTTCACCTATATGAGGCTTTGTAGGCACATACATCCATATGCACACAGGGATAGAAACTTTTTGTGTTATTAGTTCCAAGACAGGTCAAGGAGAGACTGCTTTGTGTTTGCCAGTATCCAGGATGGCTGCAGAGATCCCTAATATAATCCTTTTTCATTTTCAGGTTTGTTTCTAGTGTGTATCTCAATGTTAAAGTGATTTACAAGCAGTTTAGCCTTAAGCAGTCTGCACTGGGTGCAGATAAAATCAATTATTACTTCTCTTATCAGAACTGAAATGCTCCAAGTGCTCGTGGGAGCTGTTGATTTGTTTTAGATCAGAGTGTTTACAGCTCTGTCCAAGCAAAGGGCTCTTCAGCTTTTTCTCCAGGTGCTTTGGCCCCTTTCTCTCCCTTCCCAGCCCTGAAGCTCCATGCACTGACATCCATGGGAGATGGTCCAACCTCTCTGGGGGCTTCTGGCACAGATTTCGGCAACTTTTAGAGCAGCACAATTTTATTGACTTCCTTGTGATATTCCCTTCTCCAAACAGGGTGAGGGTATGGCTTGGTATGGCTTGTGGTTCAGCTGTACCTCCAGCTGCTCCAGGAGCCCCTTGGGGATTTAAGCACAACTTGGGGAGGCAGCAGAGCCTCAAGGACTTCTCTGAGATCAAGGGGCTGCAGCATCAGGATATATCAGATTTGGTTTCCTCAGCTGCCTGCTCATTGCTCAGCCACAGCACTGTCCTGGGGACTTGGCCATAAGGACCCCCAGCCTTACCCAGTTTAAATTCACACCAGGGCAGAGCCCCAAATAACTTAGTTTTGAGTGTCCTTTGCCTCTGCCTTGTGCTGAGGGTGTGAGTTCCAGCAGGAGCACAGCCCAGCCCTGCTCTGTGCTGGCTCATGGTGCTGGCCAGGGTGGGTGAGCTGGGCTTGGCCAGTCCTGCCACAGGGCCAGGCAGTTCTGTTTGCCTGAGCATCACAGGATCCTGGAATGGTTTGGATTGAAGGGACCTCACAGTTCATCTCCTTCCACTCCCTGCCATGGGCAGGGACACCTTCCACCAGCCCAGGTTGCTCCAAGCCCCGTCCAACCTGACCTTGGACACTCCCAGGGATGGGGCAGCCACAGCTTCTCTGGGCAACCTGGGCCAGGGCCTCCCCACCCTCACAGGGAACAATTTCCTTCTAATATCCAATCTAAACCTGTTCTCTTTCAATCTGAAGCCACTGCTCCTTGTTCTGTCCCTCCAGGCCCTTGCCCCAGGTTCCTCTCCAGCTCTCTTAGAGTGCCTTTAGGCACTGGATGGGGCTCCAAGTTCTCCCCAGAGCCTTCTCTTCTCCAGGCTGAACACTCCCAGCTCTCTGAGCCTTTCCCCATGGCACAGGTGCTCCAGCCCTCAGCGTGTTTTCGTGGCCTCCTCTGTACTCACTCCAACAGCTCCACATCCTCCCTGTGTTGTTCAAGCTGTGCTGTTGCTTTGTCCTCTGTTTCCCATGCAGCGCCTCGACCAGAACCTGGGCAGGCTCAGGGCCCAGTTTGAGGAGGCCACTTCAGACAAGCTCAAGTGTCAGCAGGAGGCTGCAGCGACAGCGAGAACCATCGCCCTGGCCAACAGGCTGGTGAGTGTCACAGCTGCAGCCCTGGGGCAGCACAGGGAGGGACCAGGTGCTGGGGTGAACCACGTGCACACAGCACGTTCCATCCCCTCCTTTGTTGGGAATACATTTCCTGCACTGCAGCAAGTTTCAGTGATGAAAATGCTTTTGCAGTGGCTGTTTTCATCCATCAGGGCAGCTGAGCTCGTTAAAGGGACTGGCTCTGCTCTCTTCACAGCTCTCGCCTCCTGTTTTGTGCTTTAAATGTGTCGTCAAGTACAGAGGGGCCAAAACTGTATGGCTCAAAAATTGTATTATAAAAACAAAGGTGGAAACTTGCAGCTTTGCAGGTTTTGAAATGAGAAAAATTAGAGTGAAAAGCTCTCTAAAAGCAGCACCTGTCCCTGTTACCCAGACACCCAGTCTGTGTGTCTGCAGCCCCCCATCCCCTGCAGAGCAAGACTGAAGAGATGTCAGAGGCTGGGAGGCAATGTCTGCCCTCACTGCCCCATCAGCTGGAGCCCCAGCTCACACCCAGTGCTGCAAATGCCCCCAGTGCTTCGTATTTTGGCCTCTGCTCTGGCTGTTAACCCGGAGCCAGTTTCTTCTCCAAGCAGGGGGATGGGGCTGCAGGAGCCTGGTCTGTGCTGAGCTCTGCCCTGGGGTGAGGGGAAGGAGCTGTTTCCAGCAGCTGGCTCTGCTGGCTCAGGCTCATCCTCAGCATACCAGAGCCCAGCCAGTCTGTTGTTTGACCTCCCTGACCCCCTGTGCCTGCAGGGAGGATGCAGGTGGTGGTTCAGACCCTCTCTGAGGGCTCTGCGCTCCCACACAGCTCCCGCTGCAGCTCTGGGGTGGGAAGTGCAGGTTATTGGCCAGTGATGCAGCTCTTGGAGCTGTGCAGCTCATGGGGCCAGCGGGGGCAGCTGAGGCTGGAGACACCCGAGGGGTGCAGAACACCTGGAAACCTTCATAGACTCACAAAATCATAGAATGGGTTGGGCTGCAAGGGACTTTAAAAACCATCTCATTCCAATCCTCTGCCCTGGGCAGGGACACCTTCCACTATACCAGACACACAAATTCATGAAGCTTTCCAAATCTGACAGGCTGGAAGAACTGGAGGTGTTCAGCCTGGGGAAGAGAAGGTTGTGTGGAGACCTCACAGCACCTTCCAGGATCTGAAGGGGCTACAGAGAAGCTGGAGGGGGGCTGTTCATCAGGAACTGGAGTGACAGGACAAGGAGGAGTGGGCACAAACAGAAAGAGGACAAATTTAGATTCAATATATGGAAGGAATTTTTCCCTGTGAGGCCCTGGCACAGGTTGCCCAGAGAAGCTGTGGCTGCCCCATCCCTGGAGGTGTCCAAGGCCAGGTTGGATGGGGCTTGGAGCAACCTGGGATAGTGGAAGGTGTTGCTGCTCACAGCAGGGGGTGGAATTAGGTGGTCTTTAGGGTCCCTTCCCACCCAAACCATTCCATGATTCTATGACACCACATCCCAGACCATGCTGGTTCCATCTCTTCCTCACCCCATGACCTGGGAACAGCTTCCAACCTTAACAATTCCATGATTCTATACTGAATTGATGAAATTCATCATTTTGCAGAGTAGGCAAGGAACTACCTGCATCCCATCCTCCTGCTGTGCACTGCACACCATCTCCTGTGGCGTCCTGGCTTTGATCTAGGAATAGCTCCTGACAGCCCTCACTGGTGTGCAGTTCATTTGACATTCAGGATGTGTCACCTGTGTGGTTGTGGGCAGAAATAAAGTTCCCAGACTTTGAAATAAACACATTTGAGGTTGTCTAAAGAATAGAACTGAACAGAGAATGATGCTTTGGAATAACAAATGAACCTGGGGGCTGAAGGCAATCCCAGCCCCGACAGTGCCAGATTGGCATCTCCTGAACTTCACATGACCTAAGGAAGATGCTCCAGGATCCAAGGGACAGGGAGCAGGGATCTGTGCACCAGAGAGGGAGGCTGGCTGGTGTTGGAGTTTGTGAGTGGGTGTTGCTAATGCAGCACATGACATTTAGTGATGACAAATGCAAAATAATGTGTGCAGGGAAAACAAACTGTAATCATGCAGTTACATGGATGGGGCCTAATTGCACTATTATCACTCACTGAAGAGCTCTTGGAGTGGTTGAAATGAGTTCTCAGGAACAGCAATGTGGCACTTGACTGGAGGAAGAAAGACAAACTTAATATTAGTAATTAGTAGAAAAAAACTCAGGAAGCAGAAAAACATCGTTGTATCAGGTTGTCAGTGCCTCCATCCCACAGGCCTGAGCAGGGGGTTAACCCAGCTCAGGAGGCTGGGGGCAACTTAGAAAAGCTACAGCCAAGTATAGAACCACTTCTGTGTGAGAAGAGAGGAAATAGATGGGGACTCTTTGTTCTGGAAAAGGCGTAGGGGGGATGGATGTGAGAGAAGCCTCTAAAGTCATGACTGGTGTGCAGAAGGTGAATGGGGAGTGGGTGTTCACTATCCCTCATTATCAAAGGCTAAAGGGAATCCCATGAGTAGCTTTTAATTTGCTGCTTGCTAAATAAAAAGAATTCCAATGACTTCTAGGATCTGAGGTGGAAGACATCTGGGATGTCTTGAAGGTATTAAAACGGGCAGTGGTGTGTGATTCAAGCAAAGGAGAAGAAAAGACTTGTAGGACCTAAGTGGATAAAAAGTAACCTGAAGAAATTAATTAGGAGTATGTAGCCACTCTACAAGAATTAGAAAAATCAGATCAATAAAGACTTCTTGGTCTTAGAGATGCTCTGGGAGTAGTATGGGAGTTCACCTCAAGGAGGCTGGAGGGAAGAACTTGAGATGCTTCATCTGTAAAAACTACAAAGGAAAGATGGAAGAACTGGACTCTGCACTGTAACTGTAGTTGAGATTAAGGATAATTTAGGTATGATCCTTAAAATTAACCAATAGCTTAAAAGGAGTGTTTTGCTTCTTTTTCAACAAGCAAGATAAGGTAAGGACTGATATGTGGGCTGAGACCAGGGTCTGTCCAGCTTCAGGTGGACTCTAGAAAATGCCCAGAACAGAGCAGGATCAGGGCAGGTATAGGCTGTGCTGCCTGATCCCTGCTGTTTTCCAGCCTTCATATGTTCCACTATGAGGAATGTGGATTTACAAGGTAAGACAACCTTATAAGACTGAGAACATAAAAATGGGAACTCCCCCAGATGAAGAGAAAGCACTGCTGTAGGTAAAATAACTGGATGGTCTCAATATGGAACCACAGGAATGGGCTGAAATTCAGTGATACAGGTTGTAGATGTACCTATGGATTTATAGCAGATTGTTCATCTCTGAACCAGGAGCCCCTTGCAGAAACCAGTGAGGACCATTGTGTTTGATCAGGCTTTGCCCCAACTGTCATGCAGCCCTAAGAAAGGCAGATGTGCTTCTAATCCTATCACAAGGAGCTTTCTAGCAAGGCTAAGGGGACACCAACACAGTCTGAGATCAGCAAAAGGCACTGGGGAACCTCTGCAGCTCTGTGAGGAGGGTGGTGGTTCATGTTCGTGACAGAGCAGCTCAGCTGGGGCAGGTTTAGGAGCAGCTCTGAGGTCAGATGGGGCACAGAAAACCTGAGGCTGCTCTTTGTGTTCCTGGGAGGAGCCAGACTGCCCAGGGGATGGTCTTCCCTGATTCAAAGGGGCAGCTTTGGCAAGGCAGAAAGGCCATCAGAGGTATTATTGCAGTTGTCTGTTCATTCTTGAGTTCACCACTCTGGTTGCCCAGAGAAGCTGTGGCTGCCCCATCCCTGGAAGTGCCCAAGGCCAGGTTGGACAGGGCTTGGAGCAACCTGGGCTAGTGGAAGGTGTCCCTGCCCATGGCAGGGGTTTGGGATGAGATGGTTTAAGGTCCCTTCCAACCCAAACCATTCTGATTTGGTGATTCTCTGAATCATAGTCGAGCGGGATGAGCTGGTGCGTGGGCGCACGGTTTCACAGTGATGATGTAGACAGTCTATAAAGAATTGTGAAAATGATCCCAAGTGATGCAGATATGAAACACCAGATAGATAAATGTAATGTAATGTATATTGGAAAAATCAAGTTTTACTTTGCATGCCCTGTAAGTGGTGCTGAGCAGGTTATTATCAGTCAGGAATGAAAGGCTGGAGCTAAGAGTTCTGTGAGTGTGTGAGCTCTGTGCTCCCAGAGGCAAAAAAACCTCACCAAACCCCAAACCAATCTGAAACTAGATGTTAGGGTTTGTTAGGAAAAGAAGAGAGAACAAAACAGAGAAAAATCCCCATCTTTGTATGAATACATTCTAAATAAATCTTGAATGTGCAGCGTTCCCACCGCCCCCTCTGCTGCACCTCAAAGGCTGGAGGAGAATGGAAATGGTGCAGAGACAGGAACAATAAAAGAAACTGGATAATAAAGATTGCATCATTCTGTACAGATAAAGATTGCAAGGAAAATGAAAAGGCTGCTTCTGAGTGAGGAATTACTGAAGAGGCTAAAGCTCCTCAAAGGAGACAGCAGAGGGGTACCGAGGGCTTGGAATCCTGGGTGGTGTGGAGAAGCTGGTGCCAGCAGGATCATTCCACTGGTTTTCCACTGGACCAACAGGTTTTATCAGTTGAAAAGTTCAGGCAGCACGTCAGAGGATGTACTTTTTTACAGGAAGCACAGCTGAACTGTGTATCTGCTGCCCACAGGGTGCTGTACATGCCAAAAGTTTGGTTGGTGTCCACGGCAGCTTTGGCTCAGTCACGAAGGAAAAAATCGTCAGTGGCTGTTGAGCACAAAGATCAGTCACAGAATGTGCTGAGTTGGAAGGGACCTACAAGGATCACTGAATCCAACCCTGAGCCCTGCACAGGATCATCCCCAAGAGTCACACCATGTACCATCATCCCTCTTAACACTTCCCTCCCTCCTGCCCCAATCTCCCAGACTATCTTACCTAAGTAGTGTCATTTTTTTTCTATTAAAATAGGTTTGCAGAAATGGCTTTTAACTGATAGGGCAGGAATAGGTTAAATATTAGGAAGGAATTCTTCCCTGTGAGGGTGGGGAGGCCCTGGCCCAGGTTGCCCAGAGAAGCTGTGGCTGCCCCATCCCTGGAAGTGTCGAAGGCCAGGTTGGACGGGGCTTGGAGCAACCTGGGCTAGTGGAAGGTGTTCCTGCCTGTGGGATTGGGTGGAATGAGATGAGCCTTCACTCTCCCAACCCATTCCATGGTTCTATGAATGTTTAATTTGATTTGGGCATTTGCAGGTTGGGGGACTGGCTTCTGAGAACGTGAGATGGGGTGAGGCTGTGAAGGCCTTCAAAGAGCAGCAGAGCACCTTGTGTGGGGATGTCCTGCTGATCACGGCCTTCGTGTCCTACCTGGGCTACTTCACCAGGAAATACCGCCAGGACCTCCTGGAGGGCGTCTGGAAACCGTATCTGCACCAGCTCAAAGTAAGTCCTGATTCCTCTGAGAAGCTGCTGTTCCTGAGATTACCATGGCCATGAATTCTGGTGTCCACAAGGATCCCCAATGGAGGGGATCTCAAAAATGAGGAGCAGCCCTGTGTCCCTGCTGAGTTGGGTTAGGGAGCAGGACATAGCCACGTGTGATTTATGCCTCTGTGGGGCAGTTGTGGTGTCCTTGCTCCATGAAATTGTCTTGATTCCTCCATGTACAGAGAAAAATCCCAAGCCTGGAGCCCAGGACAATACTCTGCAGTTCTGACCAGCCATCAGGGATGGCCTGGAAGGAGGGACTTGCACGGAGAAGAAATTGCTTGGAGCAGGCAGAGCTCACTGCCAGCTCTCTGGTAGGCTTGGAAAAGCTCCAGGTGTTTTTTTAATGCTGGACACAAGCTCTGTTCGTGCTGGCCATGCCTCTCAGCTGGTTGTATCCATGTCTTGCTGTTAGGACCAGATGGAGATCATCATGCTGCAAACTCATTTAATATTTCGCTTATTTCTAGCAGGTTCCTCTCATACATCAGGAAATAATGCCAAGAAGCTTTTAAATAAGATCACAGTGGGGCAGTGATGGCCAAATCAAAGGGCTGACAAAATCAGCCAGTTCTTTAGGCTGAGAGAGGAAAAAATTCGTTCTGTGTTTTTTAGTACTAAACCAGAAACTTAGTTAAGAAATGCAGTATTGTCCCAAAAATGACCCGACTCTGTGCTTAGAAATTTCAAATTCTAATAGGAAATGAAAGGCCCCCTCTGCTCAGACATCTGGCACAGGTAACTCTGGTTGTCACACCCAGCAATGGCCTCCCCTGTCAGAGAAGCATTTCTGGACCTTCTAATGCTGTTTTGCAGCAGAACAGCTGCCTTATGAGGGGTTAGGGATGTCCTTCCAGGCTGTCTCAGAGAGAGGGACAGGGAGGAGTGTGATCTGAGCCAGTGGGGCTTGGGCTGGTTTAGGGCTCTGCAGGCAAAACCCTTGGATTGCTTATACAGCTTGTGTTTGTTCAAAACAGAAGTGGGGAAAGAAAACTAGATGAAAAGGACACTGTAGAATGGGACACCACTGATAAATCATGGAATCCCAGAATGGTTTGTGTTGGAAGGGACACTAAAGACATCTCCTTCCACCCCCTGCCATGGGCAGGGACACCTTCCACTGTCCCAGGTTGCTCCCAGTCCCGTCCAACCTGGCTTTGGACACTTCCAGGGATGGGGCAGCCACAGCTTCTCTGGGCAACCTGTGCCAGGGCCTCCCCACCCTCACAGGGAATTTCTTCCCAGTAACCCATCTAACACTGCCCTCTGTCTTGAAGCCATTCCTCCTTGTTCTGTCCCTCCAGGCCCTTGACCAAAGTCTCTCTCCAGCTCTCTCAGAGCCCCTTTAGGCACTGGAAGTGGCTCCAAGTGGCTCCCCGGAGCCTTCTCTTCCCCAGGTGAACACCCCCAGCTCTTCCAACCTGTCTCCAGGGCAGAGGGGCTCCAGCCCTCAGAGTGTCTTCATGGCCTCCTTTGGACTCTCTCCAGCTGCTCCACATCCTTCTGATGTTGTTTCCTTCAGAGCTGAAGGCAGCTCTGCACGTGGGGTCTCATCAAAGCGGAGTAGGCGGGGAAAATGCCCTCCCTCAACCTCCCGCTCACACTGCTAGTGATGCAGATAAATCTG